TATATACATAACTTTTTTTAAAATATAATTTTCTTTATTATTTTTTTACTTCTGGATGCGTTCTGCATGTGACCTCTGTTCCTAAAAAATTTAAATAAACAACTTAAATTAATGGTGTGTACAATTTGTGTTTGCTCAACATTTTTTGCACCCTGAGATATGTAAATAATTTTGCATATAGAACAAAACTATCAATAAAAACATGAATTTAAAAAAAGAGTGAGAAAGTGAGAGTGTGGAAGAGGTGAGATCAGGGGAAGAACTGATGGTGGAGTCACTGGTTGAGTTGGTGCTGGTGGTAACGAGGAGTCATCACTGTCAGCCGGGTGTGAAGTTCCCCAGTCCAGCCTGTAAGTTATGCTCAATTTACTGTACGCTTGTATTTATTTATTTATTTATTTTATTTATTTACCGTTATTTTACCAGGTAAGTCCCATTGAGATCTCAGATGTCTTCTTCAAGCGAGGCCTGGGCCTGAAGGCAACCTGTTCTACATGTTTTTAGTGGTGGAGAAACCAGAGTACCTGGAGAAAACCCACACCAGCACGAGGAGAACATGTAAACTCCACACAGAAAGACCCCAGGTCTGAACTGGGGATCAAACCCAGGACCTTCTTTCTGTGGGGCGTCGGTGCTAACCACTGAACCATCGTGCTGCCAGAGCAGACTAAAGCAGCAGGTTCTGAACTTCAGTAGTTATCATTTCTACACACAGACCAGTCAGTTCATCCCTGCAGGGCCCAAAGAAATGCAGCCAGGTCTTATGGATGTGCACATGACGTGTTCATCATCTTAAACAGCTCAATAAAAACACAAGTCTGATGTTCAGCTTATTACAACTGTACTGCCTTAACTGTAATATTGAAAATAAACTTGATTTTCTCTAATATTTAAAAGCTTTTTCCTTTTATGAACACATTTTTTGTTTTTGTAAGTCTTACTTGAGGCTGTTTGTGTGTCTGAAGGCGGGCCACAACATCTGAAGCATTTGGTTTGTCAGGTGACACGAGGACAAGTCCAGCTCCTTCAGGTGGAAACTACAACAGGAAAGTATAGCTCAACATGTACATATATACTTTATATATTTGCAAAAATAAATTAATTATATGTTAAAACTCTAACCCTAACCGTATGCTGCAAAAGTTGCAAACATTTTGAATTGTGCACCTGTAAAAATATATGTATTTGTATTTCAAATTTTCACCTTTACACAACACAAACATGTTCTGAATGCAAAGTCACAGAAAAAACTTGTGTTACCATTTATACATTTACATGAACATGAGGTATAGACTCATAATTTATGTTTATTTTTTAASACATAAATGTTTAACTATACTTTAAGTACAACTACAAAAAAAGTCACTGATGATGAAGAAACTAATGTTCACTTCTGTTATCTACTGAAGTGGCTAAAAAATACAACTACAACTCAAAGATAACTTCTTAAATCTGCCAATATGACTGCCCAGCTCTTCTCCTGCACACACATTCCTTTGATGCGTGTGCACAACCCTGTGTGTAACACTTTTGCAACACAAGTGCATTTTGGTGTCAACCTMTCAGAATGAAACAGTGCTTATTTTCAGTCAGTCAGACTCAGCTGTTCTCAGTCTGAAGTTCCTAAAGCAGTGGCTCACCAACAGGTAAGTCTATTTAACACAGCATTTACACTAGATGCCACTCCCCTCCGCTGCACTGCGGTGCGCAGCTGACAGCTGTATGTTTGCACCACAATTTATAAAGCGTCMGATACACAATATCTGATACATTCTGACAGAATTTGTGTGGAAATATATCCATACATTGATTAATATASCTGGGATTTGGACAAAATTATTCCGCCTTATGGTGTCTTATTTTGAAAATATGGATGTTGTTTGTTCCTTTTCCTGTTGGTGCGATGTAATTTTTGTAGATTGACTCCAGAGCAGCTCAAGCGTCCACTCACCACCAGTGTAAACACTCTCCTTGATTAGGATGGATGCATATTTGCTGCGGAGGTCGGACCACAGTGGAGCGGAGCTGGAGTCTTTAAAAAATGATGTTTCTCTTCATGTTTCTCCTGCTTTTGATGAGCAAACTAACTACCGATTTACACTAGATGTGGCTCAAAAGAAAAGATAAGATAAAACTTTATTGTCATTGTACAGAGCACAATGAAATTACAGTTCAGAAGAGCCATTCAGAAGAAGACAGAACATAACAAACATGGGAGAACAGGAGCTCTGGGTCATACAGCCACTGACCTGCACAGAGCAGGATCATCTTCATGAAGACATCATGAGGAGGTGCTACCCTTAACAGAAAAACTAAAACCACACAAGGATAGATGAGGAGAAAAAACAACAACATCATATTATGTCACTAAATGTGATACGCTACGGTGTTTATAAAAAACCTCTGCAGAGCAAGAGCTGATTTATTAGCCAGAGAAGTAAATGAGTTTTAGGGGTGTGTGTATCTGAAGCCATGACTGTTGTATGCACTTGTGTGAACATCTGAAAAAGGAAAAATGAACCTGAAGAATGAGAAAGTCCCAGTCAAAGGTGGGWCCTCTGTTCTTCTCTGTTCTGGATATATATATATCTGGACTCTGATCACTGGATTCTACAGATTGGCTTGGTGGTCTCCTGGTGGTCTATAAAACAGTGTTGGCGGCTGTTCATTTTCTGGCTGACTGACCGATATGAAGGATTGCTGTTCTATCAGCACTCAGACTTTTGCCTTGAGCGAGCTGGACTCGGTCTGCAAGCGGTTCTGCTGAGGGTCGCGGGCCGGCTGTGGTCCCTGGACTTTGCTGGCCAGATGGAAYTGATCTTGGAGAAGCTGATAGATCGGCTCGGTGGAATTTGTCCACATTATTTGTCTGATTGGATTCGCCACATTGAGATGTAGCAGCAGACRTTGAAGCAGATGGAAAATTGTTATTGTCTGCCTGACTCTTCTGTTCCCAAAACAACTGATTACAGAATCTGGTTCTCCTACATGGCCTTGAGCTGTTGGATTAAATTCTTCCTGGATGACGAMGTCAACTGAGGCTCTGCCCCACACCTCCCCCATCTCACACCCATCTGTGATCTGGTTCCTGAGCAGGCTGAGGGCCACACAGAATGAACAGTTAACCATATTCTGAACTATGGCTGTGCTGGTTTTGGGGACTGGATTCTTCTGGTTCATTCTTCAGATGTTCACACAAGCATATAACACTCATGGCTTCAGATACACACAGCCCTAAACTCACTTACTCCTCTGGCTAATAAATCTGCTCTATGCAGAGGTTTTTTATAAACACCACAGTGTGTCACAGTGTTGATATAATATGATGTTTTGTTTTTTCCCCTCATCTATCCTTGTGTGGTTTTAGTTTTTCTGTTCAGGGCAGCACCTCGTCATGATGTCTTCATGAAGATGATCCTGCTCTGTGCAGGTCTGTGGCTGTATGACCCAGAGCTCCTGTTCTCCCATGTTTGTTATGTTCTGTCTTCTTCTGAACGGCTGTTCTGAACTGTAATTTCATTGTGCTCTGTACGATGACAATAACTGTCTATCTAATCTAATCTAATCTAATCTAATCTAATCTATTTTTTACAATAAGAAGCTGGAATGAAAACAAGCAAAAATGCAATAAAATTAACGACTTTCTTCTTCTTGCCTTTTTAAAAAATGTAAGGAATAGAAAGCACAAATAAGTGTGAAAATGTAAGAAGTAGAAGTAAAAATTAGGCTGAAAAATAATTACTCAAGTAAAGTACAGATACCCAAAAATTCTACTTAAGTACAGTAAAAAAGTATTTGTCTTTAGTTACTTTACAGCTCTAAGTAAAGTTCCCGGGCCAGGATATGATGCAGTGACCTTGGTGTGGGGCATCAGCTCTACAAACGTAGTCTCCTGTTGAAAACAACCTCCATTCCACTGAAGAGCTGAAGCTGGTCCCACAACCACAACACAAGCTGAACRCACTAAAGTGTGATGAGTTTTAGCAGCTACAGCTTAAAGAAGACAAGTTCAATTCTGATCTTAGCTCCTGTGAACCAAAGTTTAATTAAAGCTGTTTTGGTAATGAGTACAACAAAGCTCAGTTTTACCTTGTAGAGGTGCATGATAGCACATTGCTGAGAATGAAGCATTTGAGTGTTGTCATTCGAACATTGGTCAGGCAAATGGTTCTGAGTGAATACAGAACCTCTTCTGTTAGTCTAGGATTCTGAAACTCATAGAGAAGAACCAGCAGATCCATGAGCTCCTCTGGGGGCAGAGGCTTGCTGAGCTCTGGTACCAAATAAGAGAAACTGAGTATAAGCTTTGGTTTCATTCAAACAATTATTATATTATATACATTATATAYATACTGTACACAACTCTGTAAAGATTATATATTTTAAAAACATTTGGACTCTGAGTGCTTTACTGTGTAGTTAAAAAATCTCTTGAAGACATTAAGACACAGAAAGCAATCATCTGAACGGTTTTAACCATATTCTCGTTCAAAGCTGAACACAAACAAAATGATGTTGGAACGATGTGGATGAACTGCAGCAGTTTGAAAATGTTAGCTTGTGGATATTTTCATGAATCACAAAGAGAGTAACGTGGGTTACCTCTGACCAGGTGCTTCCGAAGGGCCTGAGTGATCTGGGCCACCGTTGTGCTCTGAATGTTGCAGTCCAGTTGCTGGAGAAGTGCACGATTGCCATAATGCAACAATCCACCCATGAAGATGGGGTAAAGCTCAAAAGGCTTGCTGTCGTCATACTGCTGCGGCTGTGGACCATGGACTCCCAGAAGACTTTGCTCCACTTGATCCAGGACATCCTCGTTGGAGCTGTCCTCAGAGCGGAACATCTCAGTCGTCATGGTTCTGGCAATTCTCCCTTTGTTATGATATTTGATTTTCTCATAAAGCTTTGGGAAGAGTTTCAGTAGGTTGAAGACAGCAAAGAGCCGGAGTGGGATGAATTTAGAAAAGATGCTGACGATGGCGTTGACATCCTCACTGGCCTGACCAATGACCACTGACACTTGACTGGTGAGCTTCTCCAGCGCTGATTTGTTTTCTCCTAAAACTACGTAGAGAGCTGCGAGGTACTCCTGCATGGCTGGAACAGCAAACACATAGCGCCTCTCATTACTCTCACTGAGCACTTTGGGTAAATACTTTTTACTCTCTACACAAGGAGCCAAAAAGAAGTCCAGCACATCGGTCTGGAACACGGCCTGCTGACGAAGCTCCTCGTCTGTCTTGGTCTTCCCACCTATCCACTGTTCCAGTTCTTTCTCTGAAAACRACGTGTGTTTGGACATCACACCATCAAAGGCAAGTTTACCAACTGTACGGACAACGTACATCATCAGAGAAGCGTTTTGATCCTGAGAGGATGCATCAGTCCATGTTTTTGTGCCCAGTACCTCACCCCCAAAGTTCAGTCTGAGGAAACTGGTATAAATGCCTGTTAGAGTGCGGATGGGTGCCTGAGCACTGGTGAAATGGAGAAGGTGAAGAGTAGCACATGTGAGCCAGCAGTAAGACGGGAGGAAACAAGCAGCAGCCAGCTGGCTCTCTCTCTGCAGGTTGAGGTAGAGCAGCTCGATCATCATGTGGGCCTCTGGGTTGAGAGCAGCTTCACCACTTTGCTGCAGCAGGCGGCTGGTGAAGTACGCACGCTGCCTGTCTGGGTCATTGAAGCCACAAATCTGAAAATATCGACTCACATACTTGTGAGGGATCCGGTCCAGAGCAGACAGTCTTGTGGTAACCAAGATGCTGGCCTGGAAAACAGAGTAGAATCACAAAACCATTAAAAAATGATAACATGACTTCAAATAAAAGTTTTCTTTGATTGCCAAGAAAAGGCTAAACTTAGCCTTAATAAAGCAGACTCTTTGATTTTAAAAAGGAACACTTTAGAAGAAATAAAACTTTAGAAACAGAATTAGAGCTAGGGCCTTTAGCTTATGTCACTTCAGCAGAACAAATCAGATTAATTGATCGCTCCTTCTTAGGTCCTGTTCACACCTGATAGTCTGGTAGGCTGTTTGATTGGGGACCAAAACTGTAAGAGTCTAACTTTGACTCAATCCTGCAGGTTTGATAAATCCTGCAGTGTCCTGAGGCAGCAGGYAGGGGAGCAGAAACCACTGGTTGGGACTAGAACCTCCTTTTGGGACCTGCTCCTCCTCTGGACTGTGTCTCCAAACCAAGCTGCCTCATCACAGAGCCCCCCTCCCCCATGACTCCTGCAGGCCATCAGCAGCAACAACTAGCAAACACCTGGTGAAACTGGGTCTGCTGAGCTCCAACACTAACTACTTCTCAGTCCAGTTCTTTTTGGATTAAAAATGCTTTGAGGAAATGAATTTTCAGATGCCAAGGAGACCACCCTCTTTTTAAGCTTCATAAGGATGACAGGGTTGGACTTCCCTTTTGGAAGTAACCCTATGAAGTTATAAAGTYATATACTGTATGTGCGAGCCACTTCAGCTTTCTGAATAAAAGGGAATTTAACAGTGGACTAATAAGATTATCACTAAAACACAATGCAATTCCAACACTCAGAGATACACAAACACCATTGTCACCTGCCCAGGTAAGCTGAAACACAACTCATGCTGTTTTGTTCACATCGTAGTTTGGTCAATGTGTTATCTAGGGTTAGTGTTTGTAACTTATATTATGACCAGTACCTGTGTGTGGATGACTGGGATCTTACCAGCTGAAACACTGTCTCTGTAATCACTCTGCTCCTTTAGAAAATGTACTTTCTGGTCCGACAATCAGGTTCGTATGAATCCTGAGATGCAATTTTCCAAAATCGATATTGTATATTGTTGCTTGTTTTTTTATTATCATTACAACAAAGTCTGCTACGAGGCTCCAGGGTGTAAAAAACCACTTCACCCTGTAGAGAAGTGGCTGTGGTGAAATGGGCGGGACAGAATCTGAAGGATATTCTTAACGAGGCAGAGGACAACTTCAAGGTGTTTCTAAACTGCTTATTTTCTATTTAAACATAAAAAAATTTTAATAACTACTGAAGGTGACAGTTACTTTTGTATAGAAATTAAATTTATGCCTGAAAAACACATAATGTTGTCCCTTTAACAGGACAAAGACAACAGAGATGGACAACTATGGCTATATTCTATAAAAAACAGGAAAACTGACAAACATGACAAAACAGATTTAATACAAATAAAGTACTGCAGTACTCATGAATAACTGATACCTCAGGCAGTAGATATTTCCTCAGCAGGTTCACCACAACTACACCTGGAGGAAGAGGCTCATTGGGATCACTGCAAAGCTCAGATGCTCCGATCCGGAAGTCCAGTTGCATTTTCTCCATCCCATTAAAAAGAAACAGCACATCCTTGGCTTGGTCTCCATCTCCACTGAGCACAGGGTGTTTCCTTAGGTGGAGGTACTTCCGGCCTACCAGATCTCTTAAGGAAGACGCCCTGTGTGGGAGAYTATCAGGATTATTTTTAATATACAACAACACTGTTTAGGTCCAAAATACTACAGCACTGCATTACTTCTGCACACATATAAAACTGTACTTTACTAATATTTTTTTCTTTAGTAATTTTCCCTCTTTTAAAAAGGAAACTCCCTAATATCTAAAGAAAAATGAACCTGTATTCATGTAGATTACAGCCATGGACACTGTGTGTGGGTTCTGAAACACCCATATGAAAATAAATGAGCTTCACAAAGATGTGAAATGGGAAATGCTGCGAAGTGCTTTTAGAAATATAATAAATATAAAATAGGACGTAATCCTCAGTGGAAAATAGTCCAGGAAATGTGTGCGTTCCCGGGAGATGTTCABCTGCAGCTGAGTGAAGCTGACCCCCCCACCACAGAGAAAGAAAAAAAGGCAGTAATTATTGATAAGGTAACCATGCTGTGGTTCACCTGTAGCATTTTCTTTTAAAGAAAAAGTAGCTTGCAAAGCTGTCACATCGGTGCTACGTGATTAAAAGCAGAGCTGCGTGTCTAATCTCACACACATGTCTTCATATCTTTGTGAGGACCACACACAGCGCTCAGCCTCGCTCTGCGCCGTCTTTTTCCCCAAGTTTGGTGAGAGGTGGATATGGAGGGACATAAAATAGCTCTGGACTTAATCTGGACTTATTTAAATAAAAATGACTACATGCCGTGAAATTCTTAGAGGGGTGGGCCATCTTGTTG